ACGATTTATCACCCCCAGCTCAAGGTCGAACGATACAGGGCGACATTTCTCGGTGCTGGCGAGTCACTGCTGACTGAGCAGCGGCATCAGTTCTCATCGAACCAAGGTAGCATGTGACTGGATCCTCCCTCCATTGACGGCAGAGAAGACATCGGCCCCGGTGACGATTCTCAAAGCCATCGGATAAGTGGGGACGGCGACCCGGCCAAAACGGACGCCGAACCACGAAGCCGGCTCCACAGCCATGAAAGCCCCGACATGCCGATCCGTGATCGCATGAAGCATTATTTGCTTCGTGATTCTTGATAAACAGGGCTTTTTCTGATTAAAACGAGCTTTTATAATATATTGCTATAATATCCTGTTAAAATTGTGTTATCCCAATATCATACAGTCCCTGTACCTTGTCCCTTCGTTCAGAAATGCCAAACCAAACCGTTATAGTCGTCGGTGCAGGCCCTGTTGGTCTTTTTACAGCTTTGATCCTTGCTCAGAATGGAATCAAGGTGACTGTGATCGAGGCAGACGAAGGCATATCTCGTAGTCCACGAGCTGCAGTGTAAGTTCTCTTATCCCACGGCCATTCATTCACTGACATATCAACCGCAGACAGCTCCCTTGCGTTAATCTTGAGTTTGCCAAGGCTGGAATCATCGATGAGGTCATCGAGTCTTCTTATAAGAGCAATGATGGGTACTCTTGGCGAGACGGGTACGATACAACAAAAATCCTCGCAGACTTTAAGCCTCCACCATCAGATAATCCCAATCTCTGCGCAGTCTTCATAGGACAAGATGTCTTGGCGCAGATCTTCCTCAAGCATTTGATCAACACAGGAAATGCGGAGATCATCTTCAACCATGCGTTTACCCGCGTTGAAGACCATGGCGATTCAGTTACTGTTCACGCTCGGCGCAAACTTGATGATCAAGAGCTCAGTTTTAACTGCCGATATGTCGTCGGAGCTGATGGTGGTAAGAGTTCGGTTAGAAAGTGTATAGGCCAGTCTCTCGAAGGCTACACCTGGCCAGACATACGGCCCATTGCAGTCAACATCCTCTACGACCTTGAAAAGTTAGGTTGGAAGCCTGGTAACTTTATCGTACATCCTGAGGATTGGGCTATCGTCGTGAGACGTGGCCCAAAGAATCTGTGGAGGGTTGCAACCAGTGTTCCATTTGTTCAGGGTGCTGATGGGGAGCCTATCACTGACAAGACTGTTTTCCCTGTCATTAAAGAGAGGCTCGCTAGGATCTTGCCCGGCAATACTGATGAGATCATCTACCTCCAGACAGCTCCGTACACGATTCATCAGCGCTGTGTCTCCAAGTATCGCGTTGGAAACATCATGCTCGCCGGCGATGCTGCTCATGTAAGTTATCCCTCGCCATCGCATCCTTCGTCACTAAACATTCTCCAGCTCAACAATCCCGTTGGTGGACTCGGACTGACTACGGGCTTACTTGATGCCGCTCATTTGGGCAAAGCTTTAACTCAAGTCATAAACGCGAATGCCCCAGAAACAGCCCTCGATGAGTACGCAACCGCCAGACGTGATGTCTATAAGAACGTCACGGATCCGTTATCGACTGCAAATCTCTTGAGACTGAAGTCGACTGCTCCTGAAGACATCGCTACGAGGGAGGCGTTCTTCAAGATGCTGAATGATCCGAACGAGAAAGGACAGGTGTTTGCTCATATGGCGAAGGAGATGGGGCTATCTACTACGTTAGATATGAAGGATTTGGGGCCAAGGCCACAGTTGTAAAATGCAGAAGAATAGATACAGCAATCCCATTGAGAAACCCATTGGCTTCTTTATCGTGTTGCAGATCTTGAAGTGGAATTGATACGCAGTGAACATCGGCCCGAGCCCAGTATAATTCTCGATACCATCACGTTTGCGATCATAGACTACGTCTGTAGTATACGCATGACATGAAGCAAAATACTTTCCTTAATGTTGCTCTATGCCACGGTAAGAAAAGCTTCATCTTTGTCTCTGTCTTTCGTACTCTCGGTTAGTAAGGGATCGTTTCTACAATTTCTTGACACGTAATCGAATAGTCCGCCGACTTGCCATCTGCTTCAGGGAATTGAACCATAGCTAATGATCAACAGCCTTACGCCTGGGCGTACGCACTACTCACGAGGCCCCCCTTTCGCCTTCTGGACATCCATATTGCATTTGCGATCTTGGCCTTAGTCGCCGACTTCAAAGAAGTGAATGCGCTTCTATTGTGACTGACCACAGGCAGGGTATTGCTGCCTGAAGTGGCGCTGCTGAATGGCCGGCGCGTGTTACTACCGTGACCTGACTTACCTACGGCCCCCGGTCACCGCGAAGGCCGTCTCCACCAACCCGATGGCACCTGTCGACGCTACCCCAGATCCCGATTCTTCACTGGCTGGGGTAAAGCTGGGGAACAAGCCAGATTGGAGCCGATACATTTGCAAATACCCTGACAATCAGGACGCGAATTCCAGCCACCGGCATTCAAACACGGATACGCCCTTTCCTACAACCTTGATATATCAAAGCCCAGTCCCACGGTGTTTTGCTACTGGTACATCCTTGCATCTCAAGCATTCAGCCTCTGAGTTGCATCGCCAACATGGCTTCCCAATCCTCCATCAGCGCTCCCTTTGAGCAAGATGCTGCTCGAATTCATTCCAAGACATTGATCTGCCTTTTCGTAAGTCACTCTGCGCCTCTGGCACCCCCCCAAGCTAACCAAAGTCCAGGCCGTCAACATGATATACCTGACACAAATCCTCTCCCTCGTCGGTACAGGCCTCCTGGCGAATACTATGGCCGCAGCTGTCGGCGGTAGTAGCCAGACTGTCTGGTTCTCATCCTGCATCACGATCCTCACCGTCGTTCTAAACCCCCCTATCGGTCAAGTCGCTGATTACTGGGGCCGAAAAACCATACTCGTGGTGATGCCACTTGCTGGCGTTGCGGGAAGCATCATCGTGTCACGAGCTCAGAACTCAGGAACTCTCATCGCCGGGTTCGCAATCTTGGGTTCTACTTTCGGAAGCCAGTCGCTTACCGTTGCTGTCATGTCCGAAATTCTTCCTCGGCATTACAGACCTATTGGACAGGCTGTTGGAAGTGTATCGATCGCGCTTGGTGCAATCATTGCCTTGCTAATGGGGGGCGGGCTTCTCCGTCATGGCGACAACTCCAACTTCCGTATCTTTTGGTATGTAACGGCTGGCTTTTACGCTGTTGCATCTTTGGGCTGTCTCATCGGATATAACCCCCCGCCTCGAGACCTTCAAGTCTCCCTCAACGTGTCACAAAAGATCAAGAGTCTTGACTGGGTAGGATATACATTATTTGCCCCAGCCCTCGTCCTTTTCTGTATAGCCCTATCTTGGTCCCAAAACCCCTACTCCTGGGATAGCGTTAATATCCTTGCACCCTTTGTCATCAGCATCGTCGTCCTGATAGTCTTCATCGTGTATGAGTGGAGGTTCAAGAAGGACGGTATGCTTCACCACGAGCTATGGAGGCACAGAAACTTCGCCATCTCCTTATTTGTCATTTTCATCGAAGGTATCGCTTTCTTCGCCGCCAACTCTTATTTCGTCTTCGAAATATCTCTCGTATATGATGCCAGCTTCCTTTCGGGCAGTGTCAACTTTGCTATCATGTTCATCGCAGCGGTTGCTTTCTCTCCCGTCTTTGGCTTATGGTCCTCTAAGTACAAGACACTTCGGCCACCACTCGTCTTGGGTGCCGTCTGCCTTCTTGCCTTCTTCATTCTATTGGCAACTTCAAAGATTGACACTCCTCGATACGCTTTCTGGATCTACCCTATCCTACCTGGCATTGCGCTTCCTTCCATTGTTCCATTGACCATGGTTTCTGCGCAATTCGCAACAACGCCGGAGCTCATCGCTCTCACATCTGCTCTCATGACGAGTATTCGCAGTCTAGGGGGCTCAATTGGCCTAGCAATCAACAACGCTGTCTTGCACAATGCTTTGGATAAGGAATTAGCCAAGAAGATTGCAGAGGCAGCTCTACCACTCGGGCTACCTACCTCGTCTCTGCCTGCACTTATTCAAGGGCTAGCTTCCCAGAACAAACAGGCAGTGGCAGCTGTCCCTGGCCTCACACCTGAAATTGCAAATGCCGCCGTTTTAGGCATGAAGAAGGCGTACTTAATCGCTTTTCGAAACGCGTGGATCGTTTCGGCTGCATTTTGCTCTCTCATGCTTATAGGTAAGTTCGACCTACCCATCCCCATTCAAACTTGACTGACCAAAAAGCCTGCTTCTTCATCAAAGAACAAGCATCCGAATTTGATGCAACCATTGACGCACCAGTTGAGATTGATGCTAAGACTATGGAAGTGGATGAGATCGTGCCGCCAGAAACGCAGGAGAAGCAGTTGGAGAGCAGGGCAGAAGTGAGCCACCAGGAGAACACTAGCTCCTAATTGATCTAACATGTTCAGAACCTCTAGGCTGTCTTGGTCGCCCCCAGGGAGCAAGAAAACATCAGAGCATGGTGTCAAAATAAACTTAGCAAATTGTCCCCTAAGCTTAGACTAGATTTACCTAAATATTTCTATCGCTTAGGGTCAAGGTCCTCTAAGTCGCGTCGTGGAGTGGGTGGCTTTGCACGTCTAGTAGCTTCAGGGCAATTCTCGCCCGCAGTACATAGCTTCTGCCGGGCTGGTGATCAGGGTTGCAAAGATGTCCTTATTGTCATTAGCTGAAGCAATAGTACCTGGCTTAAATGTTCCAACCGTCTTGACCCATATACACTCCGCGCTCGCAGTTATGACCCCTTTGGCTATTGCTATGTCGGATCAAGGACATTCTCTGTCACAACCAACAGCGCATCTCAAACACTGGGAATCACCTTCATAGCAAATGAAGGTGTTGGAATCTGTACATGATTCAACATGCGTTACCATTACTTCAATATTTCATCTATATGTGCCTCATAGCTCATCTGTCCCAAGCACTTCCCACTGCTATCACAACTGTAGGTAATTTAGATGCTGATGATCCTCATCAAGGAAATTGAGAGAAATGCCGCTGTTCCAATCAGGTTGAGTGTCTCCTGGCACGTATCTAGGTAGTCCCCTTCCAGCCATATTTGCAAGTTCTGTCATCAAAGTCTCTGCATCTCCCAGTTCCGTCGGCTGAAGAAGTTGCTGCAGGTCACTATCGCCAGAACTACTCTCGGCTGATACGTTCTCACTTCTCAGTTCCTCGATATCGGGCCCTCCAGCTATGGTGGCCTGATCATCTTTCCGATTATTGGGAACGCGCGAAGGGAAGAATAACGCAAATCGCTTCTCGAATGAGTTATCCTTGTCACGGCGCATCAATGAAGCCTTCAGATCTGTTCCTAGTTAGCATGCAAGGATGTTGGTCAATGGGCAACACGTACTTATTACAATCGAAGCAAGGTTCCATACAGTGGCATACTGCGACAAGACCAGACTAACAAGTTCACTATTATGGTATCCGGTATATGAAGCATCAGTCATATCCTTTGAGGGGTATGCTCGGTCTGATAACAGACAACATGCCAAGAAAGGCTGACATAGAGGGATGTAGTCCGGATACCAATGATAGAATATCCGAGATAAATGGCGAGGTGATCGCAATGTCTCTGGATCTCCAGGCTTGAAGGTAGCCTGTATGGTCGTGCGAGTACAGGTCAACATGAGATGCATGCCAATAATCCAGTTATGCCTTGCCGCATCACCTGAAGATGTTTCTCGTTCCAGTGTCTCCAAGTTGAACCGTTGTGACATGACAAGTGAAAAGCAGGTAATAGCATCGATGAGCTCCTCCTTATCCCGCTGACAAGTGAATCGACCCGCTGCAAATTCACTTGCGACGCTCAAGAGAATGTTGGCTATAAGAAACCATGCCCGAGGGTCTTGATTTGGGGAGTCGACAAGGAGTTTCCAAACCTCACTTGGTCTTGGGTCGACAACAGGTGAGTCAACTGGTCGGTCAGCAAACCATGCCTCGTCGCTAACCGGGAGCTTGACCATGACCATGGACCGGTTGATCGAACTTGGCCGTCTTGACATGAGAGAGCCAAAAGTGTCGAGTTCCCAGGTGATCCAAAACGCACGGCGTTGCTCTTCTAGAACTGACCAATCGCTTGATTCATCCTGCTCATCCATACTGCACAAGTTTAGATCGTAGGCTAGTCGGACACAGACGCCCGCAAGAATCCATGCGCGGTGTGATGGGCCTGAAGCATATTCATAGACAGCTAACAAGATACACCCCTGTAGGTGTTCAAGACTTGGTGTTTGCCCAAGCTGACACTTTTCGTAATATGCATTGGCCTTCTCCAGAAAGACCTGTCCACAATCTGGTGCTGGAATGCCGTGGAACCATGAACTTGTGGAGTGGCGAGCTGCCAGGGCAAACATGCCGCATAGCAGCAATGCTTCAGTGTTGGAGTGGTTTCTGTCATCGAATACGCCGTCCTTCATGAATTGGGCAAAGAATCGTGGCCTGTGAAGAAGCGGAAGCCATCCTTGGGTCTTTGCGAAAAAGATGTGAACAAGGTCTGTCAGTACAGGCACCGGTACCCCCAACCAGACGGGTGCTTCTCCTTCTGTTGAGCGGAAGATGGATGCTGGTGACGTTGAATCGTCGCAGACGATGCTTGTGCCCAGGACAATGATTTCTGACTGCGATTCATCGTTGCTATCATCTCGCATAATCTGTTCCTGTTCTCTGTCGAGGGAGTTTGGTGTGTGTATATCGTTGACTTTCGGAAGCTGTTCTGTTTGCGATAACAGCATATCGATGTCTTGGCCATCGTTCAACCTTGACTCAAGCAGACTAACGAGACGTTCTGATCCGCGCGTCAGCATTCAGCCATTATTTCATTGCGTTACGCTGGACTGACCAAGCTTCTGTGAATCAATCTGGCTCTCCTGGCGACGTCTCTGAGGCGTCTTCCGCTTTGTTGGGAACGTGCAGGATTGGCCGGTCCTTGTACATAAACCGCAGTTAGGTTTTCTCATGTCACCTAAAGCCGGGTCAGCTCGCACTCGAAAATTGGGAATCGTATCCTACATCTTGTCTTCTTTCTGTTGAAAAGGATTAACGTGTGTCAAACGAGAAGCTGCAAAGAAAGGGCCACGTACCGTCTGCATTCAAAACAGGCGCGATGGCCCTTCCACGTCTGAGGTGGAGTCGGACGTTCTTCTTGATCTTGGGTCATGGTAGGAGTGCGATAGAGCCTGCGATCAGTGGACTGAGTGTCGCGGTGCAACGTACGACGAAGTTGAGTTTGGAGCAAGTTGCATCAACTGCTCCCCAGATTTCTCTTTTGCGGGGGAATGTGGGCACCCGAAGCTCAATCTACCGATTCTTCCGTTGATTGGCCTTAACCGAGAGCCCTTGTTGCGCCATCCTCATTAGTTCCAATGGTGGGCCCGGTCAAACGCGGTCTTTTCATGTCCGTGGTGAATTACGTGTAGGCTCATTCGACAGTTTGCTCACAGCTGTATTTATTTCCCCATATGACTATTGCCCACCATGGCTAATTCCAGTCTAACACTTCCCTTAAACTGTCCAAAATGGCTCCTAGTTCGGAAATCCTCGCCAGTGCTCAACCAGACCCCGAGTTTCTCGAGGCATGTGCCCTCCCCCACCAAAAGTCCGACAAGAACAGCACTAACAATACACACTAACAGATCTTGAAGTCCAGCAGCCCGCCGCCGCTTCCGGCCAACATCGACATACCAACTCTTCGAGCTACATCAAATAAGCACAAAAATGAGGCACGAGACGCACTTGGAGGCCCTCCTCCGAGCTTGACCGAGCGAGATATTGAGATACCCGTTCGTGACGGCAGCACCATTCTCGCCTATGTTTATTCTCCGTCAGATGTCGTCCCAGGAGATGAGCTTCCTATCTTTTTATTCTTTCATGGCGGTGGCTTTTGTCTAGGCACACGCCATGATGATATGGAGTCCAACAGAATCTTGGCTCTCAAAGCTGGTATCATCATAGTCTGCCTTGACTACCGTCTTGCTCCGGAACATCCGTTCCCTCAGGCAATTCATGACGGAGTTGATGCTTTGCAATGGGTATGTAATTGTTTTTCCCCAGCTGTTGTTCGTAAAGAGACTGACCTTGGACAGATCGCTCAAAATCCCACGCAAGTTCACCCTTCCGCTTCTCCTTCAGCGGGCCTCATCATCGGTGGCACTTCCGCTGGAGCAAACATTGCCAACGGCGTGGTGTATCTAAACCGCGACATTGGGTCTCCTGCAAAGGTCACCGGGCAGTTTCTTGGTGTCGGGCCTCTTCTTCCTCCACCATTCGTTCCCGAGAAGTACAAAGACGACTATGTTAGTCACGAGCAGAACAAAGACGTGACTATACCTCCAGAGGAAGTCGCTCGCGCATTCGTTGGTAAGAAGACCCGAGACATTGTGTTGAAGAGATACTAAGATCTTTGCAGCTGCATATAAGCCAGACCCGACTTCGCCGATCGCAGTGCCTGCTGTCCATCCATCAGGACATTCAGGAATACCTCCAACTTACTTTCAAGTCTGCGGGCTTGATGGTTTGAGGGACGAGAGTATCATTTACGAGCGGATTCTTCAGGACGACATGATCTCCACGCGACTGGATTTGTATCCTGGTCTACCCCATCACTTCTGGGAGTTCTTCCCTCAATTGACCAAGCAGGTTGAGAAACGAACAAATGATACAGTGGAGGGAATTAAATGGTTATTGCATGGGCCGAAAGTCCCGAAGTTGTAATGTTACTCAAGATTTGAATCGGGTACGACGTCGAGTCGTGAATGTTCGAGTTTGTGATGGCGGTTCATGTGCAATTATCATGTTCGGAAAAGTCGGCAAAGGAAAGATCCATTATTTTCCGCCAAAATGCCTTCCATCTCATGATTCCCACTGTTGTTCACTTAAACCTTGTTCAGTTCCCATTCTGTCAGCGTTAGTCAGCGATTGTCAGTATGTGTAAGACGCTACTAGCGGCTCTCGTAAGATCTCAAAACTCATTACAATCCAATATCGGTGAAACCTCGCTACCATCAACAAGGAGCGGCCGCTGTCACCATATATTACCCGACGACAATGTCTTCTCTGAAATATCACTCAATCACTGTAAACCCAGCATAATCACAGTCTCGCGAATCATGGCAGTGACGAATCGCCGAAAGGCACACGACAGCGGCGATGTCGAAGCCAGGCCCAGCTCAGAGCCTTCGGGTCCTCATTATCGAAGCAACAGTCAACCATTCGCTGGAAGACTCGGTGCCAATCAGGCGTACGTTGTCGAAGGAGGAACATCGGAAGACGACCATTTGCTGCATCACGCACCAGATGCCACGCCGCACATGTCGTTCTGGGAGTTGATGGACATGAGCCCGATCAAGAATCTGGATTTATGGAAAGCGGCGCTTATCGAGGGGATTGGTACCAAACTTCATCCATCAGCCTGCAACTCTCAATTAACCAGCATTAGGTACTTTGCTGTTTGTGTACATAACGATATGGGTAAACATCTCTCCGGATACTGCTCCTGCGGCCCCAACACAACGATTTGGGAGCTTTGACAATGCTGCTTTCCTGGGGCCTCTCATTGGCGGCATAACGAACCTGATCTTCATAACGCTCTTCATCACGTCTTTTGGGGCGATTTCCGGTGCTCATTTCAACCCTCTGATCACTTTTGCGACTTTTTGCGCTAGGCTATGTTCATTGCCGCGTCTAATACTCTACGTCGCAGCTCAGATCGGCGGAGGAGCCCTGGCAGGCTTATTGGTCAGGGCAAGCTGGGGAGATCGAGACTTCAAAGTCGGCGGATGCTGGCTGTTCACGGACATCGTCCCGCCAAGGGAGATATTTGTTGTCGAATTGGTATCATCTACTCTGCTCCTGTTTCTCGCTTTTGGTGTTGGTCTAGACCCACGACAAGCCAAGATCATTGGTCCAGCACTGGGACCTCTCATGGTAGGATTGAGTGTCGGGACTATGAGCTTTGCTAGTGCCTTCGCGCGATATGGATACGGAGGTGCAGGCCTGAACCCAGCGAGATGTATGGGCGCCTTTGTTGGGAGTCGATTTCCAAGCTGGCATTGGATACACTGGGTTGCAGACGGTATTGCTTGCATCATCCATGGCGTATGTTATTACTTTATCCCGCCGTGGACAGAAGTCAGGCAGTAGGGACTTAGAAAAGCATCAAAGGATGTTGCTTCAATTAGAAAATTGTCATTCAAGGCTACTCAATATTGCACAACAACTCAAACTCCACTAACTCCTTCTTGACTACCTCCCTTATTTCCGATCATTTGTCATTGATGTCCACCAGGATCTTGACTTGGTTATCCTTATCCGTGATCAACGCGTTGATACCATCATCGACAATGTTCTCCATCTTGATCTTTCTGGTGATCATCTGGTGAGGCTTAATTGCACCCGAAGCGAGGTTGTCGATGACTGCTTGGAAGTCCTCCCGTTGGTATCCCAAAACGGATTTATAGGCGCTCTCCTTGAAGGTCAACCAATTAGGGTTGAAAGGGATCTCCTTCTCCCAGATCGCAATATTTACAACAGTGCCTCTTGTTCTCACAACCTCGAAAGCACCTTTGACACTATTCACTGTTAGCATATGCACAGAGCGTGTGTAAGAAAACTCACCTCGCGGGTACACCGGCGCAATCGAAAACAACATCGGCACCTAAACCACCAGTCAAGCTAAGAGCGATCTCCTTGAGGTCCTCTTTGATCGGGTTCACAACCTTGGTGGCACCAAACTGCCTTGCAAACTCCTGTCTCGAGGCAGCAACTTCAGAAACAATAATCTCACTAACCCCCTTGGCCTTCAAACACAGAATCATCGCCAAACCGATGGGCCCTCCACCCAAAATTGCAATCTTAGACTTGCCATTGATCTCCTGCGCTGCAGACATGGCGTGCCAAGCTACAGAAAGAGGCTCGACAAGTGCTCCAATTTCGAGGGGCAGATCCTTTGGCAGCGGAAAGACGTGCGTCGCATTCACACAAACTGACTCGGAAAGACCGCCGCCGCCGCCTGAGAGGCCGAGGAAGCCACCGGTATGGCAGACGTTCTCGGCACTGGTGTGACAAGCTGCGCAGTGGCCGCAAAAGAGGGTTGGCTGGACTGCGCAGGGCTGACCTACTTCGAAGCCAGTTACGCCGGGGCCAACTTCGGAGATGACTCCTGAGAATTCATGACCGAGTGTCACGGGGATGCTTTCTGATGTAAGGGGGTGAGGCTTGGTTGGGCAGAAGTTGGGTCCCCCGAGATATTCGTGCAGGTCTGGTTCCTGTCAGCTTTGGCTGGGTGTCGAACTGTGATCCTTACCTGTGCCGCAGATGCCAACAAATTTAGGGGCAACCTATCATTATCAGCATCACGATCGAAGCGGTATAAAATAGATACCTGCCTTGACTTGTCCGGGCTGCACTGAAGGCTCAGGGACCTGCTCGACACGAATGTCCTTGATACCGTAATACCTAGCCGCTCTCATCGTGGCGTAGAAAGACCGATTTATGTTCCCGGATACAGGCCCACGGAACTGTTGATTAAAAAGTTTTGTAAATGTAGCAGTCGGTAGTCTCATAATCTTCGAATTTCTCTTTTTCTTTCGTCAAGAGATAGCGAACAGCAGCCTCTTTATATAGCTCCCAGGTTCAAGGTCACGTATGATCATGTCAGTTCACTGCCCCACCATCCGACATGGGGGATCCGCATCACGAGTTCCGCAGTGCAGCCGCAAGCACAAAATCTCACTTTTCATGCATCAAAATACATCGTTTTAATTCGTGTTTCTTGCTTGATGTAACGGCCTAGAGACTTCCAATGCGGGGAAATGGATGATCTTACTTGTTTCGTCTTCCATTGACCCTTTCCCCGGATTCAAGAGAGTCTGAATCTGGTCAAGCGGGGCCTGAGCCGATTCGAGTTGTCGGAGCCGATCGTGCGCTAACTTTGTCAACGTAAAGGAGGAAGACGGCAGATTGTGGATGCGGATCAGATGGAAATGCCATGTTTTTTATTCGCTCCCTTGAGTATGATTGTCTTATCAAAAATGTCAACAGAATATCCATGACTTGGCACAACATCTGCGTCCCAAGTCTATGACCTCTTTCAACACCAAACACGCTTCTCACGTCTCGACAACATACGCGTCGCGTATCCCACAGAAGTTCCCAAGGTCCCGGAAATACAGAGAAAGGATGTCATAGAAGCTAAATTAACTTGCGGCTCTTTCTAGAAATGGGTTCCCGCAAGAAAGCCGATCTCGCAGGCAAAAATGGGGATATGGCTCGTTTCCGCCTCACTGCATCTTGGCTATGGTGGAGTCTCCTGTCAAATTGTATGTATGACTGTGCAGTGGTGTGACACGGGACCCATCAATATCTCGTTACCGAGCTGTCAGATAACGGTCTTTGATAAGCGATTAACATCAGGACATGGTCTTCGGGTGAGGCTCATCTTGTCACTCGCCTGAGCGTACCGGAGTTTTCTTGCACATGAGAAGCAGTTTGAGTGTCAGACAAGACTGCAAACCAACACAGTGTCGCTGCCATTCGTTCATGGACCATCTTGTATGATTGGGTTTTACACAAGAATTGTAATGGAGAATCGAAGATAAAATCGTAGTTGATTGAGGCCTTGATGAAACCCTTGGCCGCACACTTTTTATTTATTGACGATGTTCTTAACTTCAAGGACGCATAACTCTTTCCAGTCACTCTTTTTTCCAGCCAACAGCCAGTCCTTCTAGTTAATACGACTATGTAGAGCGAGATTCTAGAAAATAGTACGTGAGGATCTCAGTGAGTTGATAGAGACGCTTTATCACTTGGTGATTGATGCATTATGTGAAATCCGAACATGCTCATGCAATGCCCCTACCCTGCACTGGGACGATTGATGGAGGGTCCTGGAGGGTGACCCCAACTTACCCCAGCGGTTGGAGTAACTCCATTTCTGAGATAAGATAATTCCGATAACGATAACGATAACGATAACGTTGGAGCTTAGCGCCATAGGCTTCACAGTCCATGTCTGGTATCCATCTTGGTTGGCACGTATGCTACTGTGACTCTATACTCTGAGATAAGACTACGCCGGTATCGCCACGTAGAGAACCCCCTCAATCCAATCCGCTGGGTGTGCAAGTTGCCGTTAACAAATTATCACAATCAACTGGAAACCATGTCCATCTTCAATGGCGTTGCGCTGGTGACTGGGGCTGCCTCAGGTGAGAACCCTGTCACCTCCCTTGCTTCCGCTATTCCGCTAATAGTCTGCAAGGTATCGGCCGTGAGACAGCTCTATCCTTTGCACGGGAAGGATGTAAGAGGATCGTTATAGTCGATCGTGATGCGAAAAAGCTCGGCGACACGGAACTTGCCATTAAAGAATCCTTCCAGGATGTTCAGGTCCTCGCTGTACCAACAGACATCTCCAAAGTGGAGGACATCGAGAACCTCTATAGCCAAACGACCAACGCATTTGGCAGAGTTGATTATGTTGTCAACGGTGCTGGTAAGAGCTGTTTTGATACTGAAAAGTGGCTCGTCGATGACTGATCGTATCATAGGCGTGTTGAGTAACAACAAGAGGTCTCATGAGTCTTCCGTTGAGGAATTCGATATGATCAACAATATCAACTATAGGGGATGTTGGCTGTCATCTCGTGCTGCTATCTCACGTATGCTCAAGCAAGACCCTCTCCCTACTCATGACGGGAGACCTGGAGTTCGAGGGAGCATCGTCAACATCGCCTCGCAACTGGGAGTTGTTGGTCGCCCAGCAGCACGTAAGTTGCGACATACAAACTTCAAATCTGAGGCAAACACTGACCGTCGTCAACTACAGCGGCCTATTGTGGGAGCAAGGCAGCCGTGATTAGCATGACAAGATGCGATGCTATCGACGTATGTATCTCGCCAGCACCTGACTTACTAGCATGACTGACTTGCATAGTACTCCAAGGATCTCATCCGTGTCAACGCAGTTTGTCCGGGTCTTATCGATACAGCGATGACAAGGCCTCAAGCTGACGTCTTGAGTCCTGCCATCAACATTGCTCCGATGGGTCGCATGGGCAGCCCGCAGGAGGTCGCTGATTGCATATTGTTTCTTGCAAGCAGTAAAGCAAGCTTTGTTCAAGGAGCTGCCATGATGGTTGATGGCGGATACGTCATTAATTAGTTGTAGCCGTTGTTGTAATATAATTCTCTCTCAATGAGCTGTGCAGAATTCCTTGATATTCATGAAAAACGAGACAGCATCTCAACCAATCAGAAATCGTTCGGGCGAATGGTTTAGTGGTATAATACTCCCTTAGCATGATTCATCAGAATAATCTGGGAGTGGTCCAGGGTTCGATTCCCTGTTCGTCCAACTTCGGTGGTTTGAGTCCACCTGTACCTTCTTTTTGCCCTCTGTCACCCTGAACCCGACCAGTCTTTTTGAGCAATTCATGTTGGGCTTGGCAATGCCTGTGAGCTACTGGATGTTCCATGAACTAATGGCTTTGGAACTGAAAGTAGATACCTTATGTATTGGCCTCCAACTCCATTTTGGTCGTAGCGACCCCATTCATCTCCACTGCCTATGTCATGATGTTGCAGTCCACCAATCATCGTTACCAATTCTTCGTCGGCATTGACGAGATGGGTCGGGATAGCACCAGTGAAACCTCATAACGTAGTTTGGGACGTGATTTCAAAGCATCTCCACCAGCAGTAGCTTCTAGACTTCGTGTTCCCTTCAACAAGTATATAAGTTTGTACCCAGTACCCTGCCAATCACACATATCAACAAAGGCTCTATCTAAGAGAGTAACCGGGTCTTAAATCTCAAAACACGCAATATTCAACATGTCTTCTATCAAGCCCCTCATCCTACACGCTCATACCACAGGCCCCAACCCCTTCAAGGTGGCCATTCTCCTTGAGGCTCTCAACATCCCATACACCGTCAAGCTCTGGCAGTTTGGAGATGCACCCAATGGTGTTAAGGGCGAGAGCTTCCTCAAGATCAACCCCAATGGCCGCGTTCCGGCTTTGGAAGACCCTAACACCAACGTCACCAGCTGGGAATCTCTTGCATGCATGAATTACATCCTCCGCGTCTACGATTCCGAGAACAAGTTCGGTGCAAGACAGGAAGCAGGCGAGCAAGGACGAGCTGATGTCGACGCATGGACCAGCTTCCTTGTTAGCACTCTTGGTCCATTCCTTGGTCAGTGTAACTGGTTCCGCCATTACAATAACGTCAAAAATGAGAATGCGTATGAGAGATATCAAGCCCAGGTCTATCGGTGCTTCGGAGTCTTGGAGGAGCAGCTGAAGAAGCATGATGGAGAATGGATCTTGGCCGGTGGTAAACCTAATGTCGTCGACTTTCATTTTGAACCTTGGATGAGACAGTATGAGTATGCTGGTTTGAGTCTGAATGATTATCCCAAGGTCAAGGCTTGGTTGGACCGTGTTCAGGCGTTGCCTGAGGTGAAGCAAGCGTATGAGAAGATTAAGGCTGGGGAGGAGGTCTAAACCCTACAAAGAGGTGTAAAGCGATGTCAATGTATTAAGAATCTTTGAAATAAAAACTCCTTCTTTGTTACCTCTCGGAAAACCTCTATCACGGATTGTTGACCGTGATGACGTCGATGATGAAGTCGTGGTGCATAGCGCATATGCTGCAAATTCCTTCATGATACGGAGTACTGGACATGAAAATCGAGAGCACCCGCAGGTAAAAGGGTTAGAAGGAGAGAGTTTGGATTATACAAATTTAGAAAGGGTAGCACTTTTTGTCTCGCGACACCCGCGTGATGGATTCACCATCACCGTCCTCCAAATTGCCATGAGCATGGAAACATTCAGCCACATGTCTCAGCCGCAAATTGCCCTTCTGATAGGCACTTCCATTGGCAAAGCCGGAGAATTGACCTTCTGATGTTGGTCTAAGCCATTTATTGCCTCGAGTCATTTCCCTGGAGCTTTTGCCCCTGGCGCGCCAAAATTTTCGGTAGCGCAAGTTTATGGTTGCATGCGTGTCCGTCAGCCACTGGAACATGTTGCCTATCTCAGAAGGTGGTTGGTTGGTGTCTCTAGCTGAAAAGAGATGATGGCTTGTGGGATAGGGGGCATGGAGGCTTATCAAACAGATCCTAACCACATTGAGCTTACGGCGTCCTTGAATTGAATTGCCTCCTTCACCCGTACCTAGATGTACAATGCAAGCCACGTCCGGATTTGCAGAAGAGGTACAGCAAGTACAGCAGGCAAGTAAGGAGTATGTGCTGATCAATGCCATCTCGTACTGCTGTTCCAGCCAGTTATGCACAGCAGTCCTGCCAAGCGCGCGACAGTTGCAGTCCTTCTCACCACAAATTGCACATGCTGTTTCAAGAATCCATGCTTAATGCCCTGGCTATGGCGCCAGGTCGATCCGTCAGGATCAGCAAGCGGGCCGACATCTACGGTCCCACTCGGACTTAATTTTTTGGTGCGCAATGGTTATTGAAGTGTTGTACGTCTTACAGACAGACTAATTGGAGCCTCTTGTCAAGGTCACAGGCACCAATTACCAGAGTTAGCATTAGATGGACGCTGCTTTGACAGGTATGCAGCCGAGGTCTATTTCGGAGGAGGAACTTTGTTGTCGAATGCTGTTATCGGATCACTCCGAGCATGTGCCAAAGACGCCAAAGCAGCGCTCAGACATGTACAACCCCATTGAGAATAGTGCAATGGTCTAGCTGAGCCAAGCTTTGAACTCTAATGTCTAGTGGTTGGTTTCAGCGAAGAAGCGTTAAAAGCTAAATGCGCTGCCGTCCGCCAGCGGAATTTTCCTTCTTCAGTTACCCATGTCCCCTTGCTGTCGCATCTCCCCTCGGCGGTAGAACCAAGGCTGTGGCCGCCAGCCAAGCATCAATGAATATCAACACTTCTATTGTATGTTTGTCGAATATATACTACTCACTCTTTGGTACTAACTGAACTTGCGCAAGGCTATACAAGCAGTACTGCTTGTTTTGGCATTAGTTGTTCTTATTCTACGAACCTGGGCGCATTACCTCTTAAAGCAGAACCTCCTCAACCTGTCTGATATTTTTGCATGGCTAGGATGGGTCTTCAGCTTGGGATGGTTTATCTGCTCGACCCTCGCGCTTCAAATCCTTATCGACAACCCTGCGATCGGATCCGAGCTCGTGGTCAATAACGTTGAGTACTTGAAAGTATGGCGACACAGCGGCTGCGAAAGGGGAACTACAATGCTGACCAACTATATGTAGACCGTGCTAGTGGCCGAGTACTTCTTTGACACGGGTATCTACTTTCCCAAGATATCCATTGTTCTCTTCTACTGGACGTTAATCCCTCGGGTTCTGGAAACCTTGAGAAGAGTGTTACTTGGTATCTCGATTTATCTCGGTTGTGCTCTGCTCGCGTCGGTGCTCACAAATACTCTCATATGCCTACCTTTCTCCGATAACTGGTACGCTTGACGACATGATTTGCCGAATCCTTTGAATTGACAGACATCAAACAGGTCCATCGAAAATCAACTCAAGTCAGCTTGGAATTCATACCCTTCCTTCTGTATTCAGTGGGCTCTCAACTTTTCCACAGACTTGCTGAGTAGGTCCCGAAGATCTCGCTGCTCTTTTTACTTGTCTAACATTATCTTAGTATTTGTGTATCCATTCTTCCTACTCAAACACTTGAGATTGCGCAAGGAACAAAAGATTGGCCTCATTGGCGTCTTTTCCTTGGGAACAATCACATTGATGGTCAGCCTTTCACGATTCATCGCATACAATGTTACCGACTTTGAGCTTGAGGACGAATCCGGCAGTACGTTCCATCACCAAAGCCTTTTTCAAATGCATAAACTGACCCATTATAGACACATTAACTCTCGCTGAAATGAGTACCGCCGTCATCGTTGTTTGTCTCCCGGGTCTCCGAACATTCCTCGTACGATCGAAAAAGTCAACCAATCGCTCGTCCTCACACCAGCTCAGCGGCTATGGCAACCACACAAGGATCGGGGTAGGACAAACATCCAAGACCGGCGCACATAAAGGACAAGGGCCGCCATCATCCTATGCAAAATGGGGCGTGAGAGATGATGAAATCGAGTTGGTAACTCACATACGCGTTTCTCACGAACTGGCGAATCCCGACGCCTGCAGCGCGAGCGAACAAAGTGCGACGAGTCGAAATTTAGGGTTATAATCTTCACAATAGAGTTTGGCGTTGGAGGAAATAGATTACATGATTTACGAAACACGAGATACTGGGATTCGACGGCATAAATGGACGTGTTATTACACCGGAGGCTTTACAAAAGATGGCAATTGCATTTTGGATAGACGAACAGAGTATGATATAATTTGGCATCTCTAAGTGATTGCGAAGCCTAGAAGTTCCATTAGGCTTCAATTGTTACCTCAGCAATCAGCCCCCTACTGAGAGTACTACTTACCGACTAACATAAGTGACCTGCCGCCTTGACACCAAAGACTACCGAGGGTATCTGGGGCTTAACAAATAATAGATCAGACCGCCCCCAGCGGGTTGCCTCCTCATCTCTAGTCATCCTGTGTATTGTCACATCTGGCTCAACAGGTGGATTGCCCAAAGGCACCTGTGATCACCGTTTCTCTATCCCAATAATATTGACATACTGCGTTATAAAAAGGAGGCAATAGAATAAATAAGCTTGAAGTTAAACTCTATACTAGGCTTGAGTCATAAGAATCTACCTGTCATTGTTCTCGCAACTGAAGGCTCCTCCGATAAGTCCCTGTGAATAAGCATCGATGATGTTTTGAATAACACCATAGGTTCCACCAATAGTCAAGAATACAGACAACGCAATCATCAACCAGTTAAGATAGTAAACAACAACCTGCCACATCTTTCCCTTTCGGTAGTGCTGGTGGTCATAGACCCAAAGATACCCAGGCAAACCCAGTGCGAGAGGCGAAAAGGTGAGACTTCCAGCGAGAGCCAGGAGGTAGTTGAAGATGGGGATTCCAGAAGCGAGAAGGAACGAAACAGCCGACATGGCAGTCGTGCATCCCAGCCAAACAGCCCAATGAACCACAGTGTTCTTCTGGAAGTGCTCTGAGTGTCGAAGGAGTCGGACGAAGAGGTACTTGGCTGCGACGTGGACATACAAACAGGCACTGACGAGGAGACCAGTGAGACCAATACCATAAGCGACCTTCTTGATGGTAGGACCTGCACTTCCCAGAGATGGCGAAGCAACCCATTGACCGCAATACTTGTAGACTACAAGCGAGAAGGTGAGGTATGAAGCAGTGACGATACCCATGCAGAGGTAGACAGCCTTGTTGTAGTCTCGAGGTCGACGCATCTCAGAGATAACTGGTAGGAAAGCGGAAGTTCCAGCACCACTGCAGAAGATTGTCGAGACTGATGTGATAGCGGCAACAAAAGTGGGATTGCCGATGACATGGTAGCCAAACTCATAGTCTCCAGTCTGGGGAGCGGCAGCAGGTCGATCGAGGGTTGTAACACCGACACTAAGTCGTGTAAGCGAAGAAGGGTTACTGGATTCAAGAGACTTACACGACGATGAAAACAGCAACATAGACGGTCAAGAAGCCAGCCCAAGTGAGCCACGCAATATTCTCAAACTTGCGTACACTTGCGAGGATCAGAACTGCGATTGTCGCCACTAACATGAACCAATTGGTGCAGATAGCATGGTTGCTAAGAACATTGAGCGCAACAGATGTACCGAAGATACCTGAAGCACCGACGATGGCGTATGTGACGAGGAACAAAACTCCAACGACCTCTGACACGATGGCTATTAGTCTTTGTGCATACAAATAGAGTCAGGCTTTCTTACCCTTCAGCCAAGTACCACCAACTACATTCGCCATATCCGCGATGCTGTGGCAGCCAGCATGTCTGTTTCGGAAGTTTCCTTGGACAATGGCGCAGTAGGTATTCAGGCCTTGCCATCCTAGGACATTGATCGCACCAGGGAGAGCACCAAGGACGAACATGGCACTCGGGATTGTGAGGACACCAGTTGCGAAAATGACTTGATAGAGGGTTAGCTTGACCTTCAAAAACATATTACAAAGACTTACCCTTCAGAAAGATGACGGACGCCTGAATCCACCCAACAGTGCGGAAGTCAACCTTGCCTGGAATTTTCTGAAAGACCTCTCCATCATCAACACCCTCCTGTCTTCCAAGCTCAATGCTTCCATTGCTAAGCATTCCACCAGACTGCTTCTCGCCTTTCTCTCCTTCAGAAGAACTCATATTGGTCGAAGTAATGTTCATAGACAGATGATGAAGAAACAAGATGGATGATGCAGGACTCAAAACGGTGGGATCGACCTGTCTATTATCACTTGTCGATCAACACCGGCAGTCTTCGCCAAGCTCAACTTTATCAAGAACCCAGCAATATCTCTTTGTGGATGCTTCATCAAAGTCCAATGATAAGGTCTGGGGTAAAGAAACAGCCCCTGTAAAACTCTGGGGAAGATCCTGACTCGTAGAGTGATAAGAGAGTTGGAGCATAGCGTTGGAGTTGGAGACTAGCGTGGGATTAGTTCTGGGTTGGATGATACCCCATGATAGGGTAGTGGGCTGATAAGCGTCATTACCCCTCTTAGTTATCGGTATTGGTGTAATCTTCGGGTTGGAGACGCGGGGAGACTGCCGCATGCGTAATTCTTGAGGGTCTGGATTCTAGAATCTTGACGTATTTCTAGCCAGAGCTATCTGAACCGCTTAACTTCCTGGAGATTATTCACATCATTATTGCATTGCATATCGTGTTCAAGTCCTCAATTGATCTCCACTTCTTCACATTGTCACCAAACAGACGCCGCCATGCCTAAGCGTATTCTGTGCTCGTATGGAGTCGATGTTGATGCTGTCGCTGGTTGGCTTGGCTCCTATGGAGGTGAAGATTCACCCAGTGATATCTCTCGTGGCCTATTCGCTGGAACACATGGAACTCGTCGAATGTTGAAGCTGTTCGACAAGTACAACATCAAGGCGACATGGTTTATTCCCGGACACAGTCTTGAGACTTTCCCTGAAGAATGCGCAATGGTCAGAGATGCCGGGCATGAAATAGGGCTCCACGGTTCGTGATATTACTGTATCAAGTTGGCCCCTTGACCTAACGACAGTCCAATAGGCTACTCCCATGAGAATCCTTCCGATATGACACTAGAGCAACAACGTGATGTCTTGGAAAAGACTCACAAGATGCTCACAGAGTTCTGCGGCAAACCCCCTCGCGGGAGTGTCGCCCCTTGGTGGGAGACTAGTAAGGAGGGGGTTGATCTGATGCTTAGCTATGGGATTGAGTATGACCACTCGATGTCTCATGATGATTGCCATATGTACTGGCTACGAACTAATGATAGCTGGACCAAGATCGACTATAAGCAAAAGGCCGAAACTTGGATGAAGCCGTTGGTAAAGGGGCAGGATACAGGACTTGTTGAGATTCCAGCAAACTGGTATTTAGATGAGGTAAGTTTTGGCAGTCATTGATACAAGACCTAAGCGCTAACATTCATCACAGTATGTCAAACCCGCTTCGAAAATGCTGCTGAGGATGATCCTGACATTTTGACAGCCTTCCTCCCATGATGTTCATCAAAGATGCCCCCAACAGCCACGGCTGGGTCAACTCTCGCGATGTTGAAGACCTGTGGCGAGACCACTTTGACTACTTCTACCGCGAATACGCTGATGATCCCGATCAGATCTGCGTGTTCCCTCTCACAGTTCATCCGGATGTTTCCGGTCGGCCGCATGCACTGCTAATGCACGAGAGGTAAGAGCGGGAGTAATTGTGAGCCGAGCTCCGGCTAACGTCGGACAGATTGATTGAGTATATCAACAAGCATGAAGGCGTTGAATGGGTGACGATGGAGCAGATGTGTGACGAGTTCAAGAAGAAGAACAAGCCACCCAAAGGAGCTGTCATGCCCAAGGCTCAGGAGCAAAAATAAGGTATCATTGGTAGTAACATATAAAAACGTTTCTAGAACCTGTGATCAAACCCGGAGCGAAAGATCAGCCAAAGTTCTTGTGAATAAGTATTTCCCTGTACTTTTCCAGTCCAACACCAATTATGTTGATGAATGGCCATTGTGTGTTACTTTTGAAGAAGTGTGCCCATATCTTCAAAACTGCCAGGGATAAGTTGCTTGGATCTCGGAAGTCAAGAAGACTTGGGTTATCCGTGTCAACGCCTTGATCAAAATCGACGACCGTGTATGCCTCCTCCACGATGCATCTCACCCAGTGTAAGATCCTGTCTTCGCTGTCTGGAGTATTTGTTAGCTTCGAAAGACGGAACATCTCTTCAAAAATAAACTTACCACTCAGCGGATGCTCAGCAATCGTTTCTCCAAGCTTCGATAACCACTTGCTCAACAATACTGCGCAGTCGAGGCCAGACAGTGAATGTCTTACGCTCCAGAAGAAAGCCTGGCTTCGGGCGACTCGATCAACCCCGAGTCTGACTGGGATACCGATCATGTGCGCTGAGTAGAGGAGTGCGGCAATCACACCGTCACTCCTCTCGATATCGGGACTACTTGCGATGGCATTTGCGATGCGTTGCGGATCACGTGTCTCGAGTTGTCTGTAGGGGCCCAAGTGCAGATATATGCGCACATACGCTAGTGACAGAAGAGAACTGGAAGTGAAGGGGATCGGTCCGTTCTCGTTGTTTGGGTCGAGGGTTGACTCTGGTGCTTGTTGCCAGCAAGAAGTCCACGAGCGCAAGCCTCGTTCGAGTTTCTCAACCTCTTCACTCGGAAGGACAGCTGAGCTGCTGGCGATCGGAAGGCTCAGATCTCGCACGATGTGTATTCTCTGGAGTAGTCCATGGAGCAGGACATAGTTACCCAATGGCGTAGGAATCGGCAGTAGTGGCGCTGTGTCATTCTTGTTCTTAAGCAGTAATGATAACGCTTCTCGGAAGAACAGCTGTGGCTCCTGAATCTCTTTTGTTGCAGCGCGCCATAACGCTGGTGTCGGGGCTTTCCATTCCTTTGTAGAGCATGGTAGTCGGAGACCAATCTCGTTACTACGGAGTGTTGGGTAGACATTGTATGCGATGCTGTGCGTATGAAGGAAAGAGAAGCCGATGAGCTTGGAGCGTCTGTTTGACTCTTGCTTGATCCACGTCTTCCATTCATGCCACAATGAGTTACCATCACTTGGCTGATCTGATGGTGTTGGCGATGCGGGCTCATCGACGTCTTCAAGACCAGAGTTTCGCAAGACTTGAGTAAGAATACCTTGCAACACAAAGGACTCCTGGACCATTGGTGCCTTGGGCTCCCAAGTCGCAAAGCCCATGAGCGTAATCAAGGCCCTGATGGTCTCGACTGCCGAATCAGCCTCCGTATCGCCACGCCGACCACTCTGAGAAGTAACATGTGGTATGGGAAGCGTTGAGAGACCAAATGAGTCCGAACCATTTCTCAGCCTTTCCATCAACAGCGCTTTTCCAGCAAAGAAAAGCCTTTCTGACGCCCTCGACTCGAAGCAGTATTGCGCTCCGATGGCCGCGATACCAAAGATTAGCTCAGGTGAATGATCGTTGATCTGCCATGTCGGGATGTGGATGAATGGCATATGTGTGTGAAAGCCGCCGAAGAAAGAGGTCACGTAACGCGTGAGAGCGTGTCTCGATGGGACACAGAAAGAGGGGTCCAGGAGATGCGAGTGATCAAGGATGGATGCTTTGAGCTTCGATCTCTGCTCTTCGGTGACTTTGAAAGGCCGTGTTTCGGGGTCAATGGCCCTTGGATCTGTCCGTGTGAGTGATCAAGTTGGCTAAGGTCTGAAGCGAGACTTACTATCTGTGTCAGAGACATAATTGGATATCCGATTACCCGTGGGTGCAGAAGGAAGCCACGAGCTGAACGGTGTTCCAGCTCGGGTTGGAGCTCCTTGCCGAGGCGAGGTCTCTTCATTGTTTTCTTGCGTAAGCCTGGGGTCGATGGGTTCCTCATGCCTGTCAGGGTCGCCGAAGAAGGGGCTCCACTCTGCAGAGAGACCGACACCGTCGAGGAAACTGGTGAACTCGCGAAAGTGGGTGTCAAAGTCAACGCCTTTTCTGAGTTAGCTGTGTTTGTTGACAAACAAATGGGACTAAGAGTACTGACCGCTGTCGAGCATCTGCGGTGACAGAAAGTTGGGAACGAATTGGCCGTCGTCTGCACTTGTTTGGTGTTGCACTTGTTCGTCTACTGTCTGAGGAACAGCAACGGGGAGCTGCATCGGCTGCTGTGTTCTCGCACAAAACCATGGGTCAACACTCAGGCCAGAGAGCGACACAGCTGCAGCCAAGTCTGGGTCGGCGATGCTGTCATTCCTTTGTTGTACTACAGTCACATTCCCTTGCGCAGGTTCAGGTGATGGTACGTCGCCCTCATGCTCGGCTAGCCTCTGATGACGCGTGAGCAAGTCACGTCTCGCAAAGGATGCCCCGCAATGGCACAGAAACGGCTTCTCTTTGGTATCTACTCATCCGCCGTCGCATTAGCCAGCTACCCTATCTTCGATCAGATAGCGAGACTCACGTGTTCTGACGTGCCTCTCGAGATGCTCGGTTCTCTTGAAGGTGCGCCCGCAATGTGGACACATGCGTAGATTGACTCCAGCTCCATTGTAACCCACTCTTTGTCGCTTGTTTGGAGTCTCGTATGTGCCGATGTTGTCACCCATTCTGCAGCAATGACTCCAAGAGTTGGAGAGGAATTGCGATGGAGGAGGCGAATGGGGTAGTGCATCGTTTATCATGGAGTCGCAGGTGGGGCAGGCTTGGAGTAGCGTCTGATAGCGTTATCTTTGGCGTGTCATCGCGGGGAGATAATCGACTAACGGAATTGGGTGAGCAAAACACGGTACCACGTTAGTCACCTATTGCTCAGCATGACGGGCAGTTTGTGGAGGTGTTTTAGAGTAGATTGCTCAAGTTAAAGAAGTTACTAAAGAGATACTAGCAGCTTTACGGAGTAGACTAAGGGGGAATGAGATTCTGGAGGTCAAGGCGAAGCACGTAACTTGTAGCCATGGAACGCTCAACAGGCACGCATCGCAAATGATCAAAGAAATAAAGTAATGTTCCTTCTACAGGCGCCAAAGTCCGGCTCTACAGATGTGAAGATTCTCTAACGCGTCGGACCTCATTCAGAACATCCTCCGTCTCTTCAACTGTAGACTTCCCCTCCTGCTCCCAGTCAAAACTACTCTCCAGCGCTTTCGCAACATTCAGAACCTTTTTCTCTTGCCAAAGACCACCGACGATCTGCAATCCAACCGGCAACATAACACTCTCATCATCAACAGCCTTTGACCAACCGACAGGAAGCGACAGAGCAGGATTACCCGTGACGTTGAAGATGGCAGTGTTGTTCGTCATCCCAATGCTCGGCTCGAATGACTTGAGCACAGACTCTCGTGAGCCGTGTCGCGGTGCGACGAAGGGAGTTGTTGGCATAATGATGACGTCGTATTCTTTAAACTTTGCTTCGTATGCATCGCGTATTTGGCGGCCGATGTTGACCGTCTTTGCGTAGAGACCGGGGAAGTTGCGTGAAAGATAGATGCCGTTGATCACAGTGTTCTTGGTGGATGGAAAGAGTTTCTCGAATTCAGAGGATGTCCAAGGAAGACGGGCGTGCTCGAACTCAGTCAGGTAAAGACCTCGACGACCGTTGGCTTGGCCTAGGATGCCTGCCGAGCCGGATATGCGTTGTTGGATTGTCCATATTGAAGGACCTTCCTTGTGAAGAGGAATCGATACTTCGCTCACATTGGCACCAAGAGACTTCAGCCTATTGATGGTGTTGAAGAAAGTCTGCTTCACGCCTGACTGCACCAGATCGTTATCGTAGCCTTCCTTCAGAACGCCAATCCGAAGACCTTTTACTGATGCACTGGCCAATGAGTCCAAGTAGTTGAATGATCCGGGTGATGGTGCACCGAGTGATCGGTCGTCGATGCCGTCGTATCCTGCAATGACATCCAAGCAAGCAGCAACTTCGTCAACTGTCCTGGCTAGTGGTCCCGCATGGTCATCAATCTGATCACCACTCGTGATACCTGTATATGGGACAAGTCCATGCGTTGCCTTGAACCCGACACAGCCGCAAAGTGAGGCTGGTACGCGGATGCTGCCGCCTTGATCTGTACCGATAGCAATATCGGCCAGACCGCCCGTGACAAGAGCCGCACCACCAGAGGTACTGCCGCCGGCCGAATACCCTGCTTTGCGCGGGTTGTCGATCGTGCCCTGCGCACTTGTGAAGGAGGACGTTGAGTTACAGAAGTTTTCACACGTCGCTGTTCCTGTAATCACAGCTCCAGCCTCAAGGGCTCTCGTGACAACAGTCGCATCAGTCGATGGCGTCCAAGCGGGGAATGCATTGCTTCCAAAGAACTGCGGAACGCCAGCAACAGCGATACAGTCTTTCAGGCAAACATCTTTCCCCGCCAATGCTGAGCGTGAAGACTTGTCGCCTTCGATGATGAAACGGTGCGCCCAGGCATGACCGTAGCTTTGCTCGTGTTCTTCGGGAAGGTGGATGTTTTGACGGGGAAATCTCTCGATATCCGGGACGGGCTGATAGTCTGGGAGATTGGAGACACGTTCTGCGCAGTCGTGAACTGCTGCGAGGAGGAGTTGGTATTCTGATGACTCTTCGGGGCGGATGGTGAGGTTGAGAGGGTCGAGCAGGGCTTCGACGTCTCCTGCTCGAACAGGGTTGCCACTGGAACAGGATGTTAGTAACCTGTCTTGACCTGTGACTTCGGCCTAAGAGTTGACTTACGGTAGAATCTCTTTGAAGAAAACAGACATGATTGCGGCGACGATCGAGGCGGGATAGCGTGAGGGAGGTGTCAAAACGTACTAGCCAAGACAATCACAACCTAGAGGTAAACTTATCAGTTTATCAATAGAGATAAAGCAATGCCACCATTCTGTTTCTAAAGACATGATTGCTAATCTCAACCCGCTTCGTGGTCCACTGAAGCCGTTGGAGCACCTTGACCATGGCTGGAGACTTACCCCAAGATCCCTGTTGGGGTACTCCAACGTTATGACATGGCGGGCCTTGATGCGACAGGTAGTGTGGCGACAGAGCCCAGACGGGAGATAACACGGCAATCGGCTCTGTAGTTAGACGGTCTTGATGTCGCTTCTCGAGATTAACATCTGAGAGTTTTGTGAAACAAAGAGTAGCAATTGCAATGGCGCCCGACGCAGCTTTACCATCTTGGATGAGAGCAGCATATATCGCAGAAGTGAGCATGACTACAAAGAATTAGCCACCATAGACAAGTGCTGAAACTTCCCAGTATAACAAACCGTATGCCTTGGGGGAGCGGCCACTGCCCACTATCAGAGACACCGACATCCTCGTGCGGGTTCACGCCGCTGGATTCTGCCACTCAGACCTGCAAGCTTTGCAAGGCGAGTTCGAGAAACCTGCGCCAATTGGTCTGATCCCATCTCACGAGATAGCCGGTGTTGTCGCCAAACTGGGTAGAAGCTACCAAGGAGATCTCAAAGTCGGTGATCGTGTTGGCGTCCTCAACTTTAAGCATGCTTGCGGCTCCTGTGTAGGATGTCGCTTGACGCAACGAAGAGGCGAAAAGCTTGATCCTAGATTTTGCGATGACCGGGAAACCGCTGGCTTCTTGCATGACGGAGGATTTGCAGAGTATGCGTCTGCTGATCCGGAGACAACCGTGAAGCTGCCGGACTCGATCTCGTTCGAGCAAGCGGCCCCGCTTACTTGTGCGGGAGCAACGGTCTGGGGAAGTCTTGAGGGCGCCACAGCGGGAGTGAGCAGAGGAGAGACAATAGCTATCGTAGGTATCGGTGGGCTTGGGCACTTAGGTGTGCAGTTCGCAAAGGCGCTCGGTTTCAAGGTTGTTGCGGTAGATAGCAGAGAAGCTGGCCGACAGTTAGCATCAGACGTGGAGAACTCAGCACTCGAGCCCGACCTTGTGGTCGACTCTTCCGACACTGCAGCTGCATCGAAAGCCATCTACGATTTCACCAACGGCGAAGGTGTCGCTGCCGCTGTTGTCTGCACGCCATCGTTGGAAGCGAATCGGTGGGCGCTCAATGTTCTCAGGATCAAAGGAACGCTGGGAATACTCGGTCTTCCTCAGGACCCTTGGCAGTTTGACGCGGCGCCTATTGTGTTTCGGGAGTTGACGATAAAGGGGAGTTACGTGGCGGGGAGAGCGGCGACGGAAAGGATGATGAAGGTCGTGGAGGAAGCGGGCGTGAGGTCGCATTTGACTGTGTTGCCGTTCGACAAGATTCCGGACATTGTTGATATTTATGAGGATGCGGCGTTCAAGGGACGGATTATTGTACAGATATGAGTATCGAAGAAATATGTCTGCTGTGACTATCTCTTTGAACGTGTGTCAGTGAGATCAAGCAGGCTTTCAGGTGCAATCAGATCATGTTTGCAAGAATTTAGGGGGAAGGCTGCTGGAGCTGAAGCTCGAGCGGAAGCCGAGTCTTGGTGGTAGGAGACGAAGCTGATTCATGTGACTCCACAGCCTACCTTCTCAGAACCACTCGACAGTCAATCACGTAAAGGCATTCATCTACACAAGTCACTGTGATACTACACATTTTTCCTTCTTGGCGATCAAGCCCGACATCTTTTACATCTAGCAAACCAAATTCATCCTTGTTTCTTTGGCATCACGCAGGCATCCAAGTGCGGCAACAGACTCGTTCATGTACTCATTACTGTGAGCTAGATGTGTTATTTGCAGTTGAGACCTGTAGCTGAGAACTTATAATCGCCACGCTCTTCATGTACTCAGTTGCCTGGTCTTTCATCTTCTTGATGTCGCTGTAGACAGCCTGTGAGTAGATGTGGATGGCTCTCCCCACCCTGCCCACCCTGCCCTCCAGGAAACTGCACGCTCCGGCGTGACAGCGTACTGGGGATACCTATGTTTACGCAGTCCGGGCTCCACCTTCAACATTGCCTTTCTCTCCCTTTTCAAGGTCATAACCCCCCAGACGCTTCCTCCTCCGATGCATATGTGCTCTTCAATTTGGACTGGTACAATTGGTTGCGCTTCAAGTTCTCCTCCGACAGATGGCGACGTCGAATGAGGCAACTCTTGGCCTTCTTCCGCGTGCCTTACTCGGCCGCCCACGCTCCCGGCGAGTGTCAAACCGTCCAAAGCCGTTGGGGATCGGCGAATCCGATGGTGGTGGTCCCGTCTTCGTGCGAGGTCCATGGCAGGGACGAATGATGGGTCCAAGGATCTGCCAAAAGTCGCCGTGTGACTCAAAGAATCGCAAGTACTTAGCTTGCTTCCTGGACAGACAATGTCGAACGTCGACTTGGATGAAGATCCGAGGAGGATCTCGGAATGTGCTGTTGTGCAAAGGGTCCGCAGGTCCCCTCCCTGTGTTGAACAAGGCTGCTGGAACCCCCAGGATGGGGTTCAAACAGCGGGCCTGGAGTGCAAGCAGATGGGCTCCGTGGATGACTGGCCGCTGGCTAGACCCGAAACCATTCGTCGTTCAGTTGCATCATCCAAGTCTTTACCCGCTGCAGCAGGGCAAAAGAACAGTGTCTGACGATGGAACACGAGAGGAGCCAAGGTGCAAAGGACTTTGGGAAGAGATGAAAGGGGAGAGGGGGTTTTGGAGAGTGAGGGATTGGCAGCTAGCTTCTGTTTGGGATGCAGTCAGCTTGAGGCTTCTCCATCACCGGATCAGTCGACATACCGGTGAATGCTCAACTCCTCAACGTGAGCGAGATGCAGTGCTTGACCTTGGGATCGGCGGTCGAGAGCCGGCGTGCCTTGAGGTTGTGAAGATGAGTGATGGCGAGGAAGGATAATGATGATGATTGCGCAGCGAACTGCTGGCTTGGTGGAGTGAGCACACAGGAAGAGATGTAGAGGAGGAGGTTCTGTTCGAGGGCCAAGAGAGGGGAAGGAGTTTTGTGCGGGGAAGAACTCGGTGTTAGGGCTTGGATGGAAGGTAAACAAGCTGGCAGTGGCAGAGAGAGGGCAAGAGGTTGCCAGACCGCACCATGCCCCTTTTGGATGAGGGCTCAGGAGCTGGCCGGTCAGCCTTGACTTCCAGGCATCTTATCTCGGCACGCTCTGAGAAAGGGGATGGATAACAGGCCAGTTACAGCGGATGTTGGCCTGAGGTATGGGGTGGCAATGCCCTGGCAACCAAATCAGCCTGCAGATTCCAGGCAAGCTTAACGGACTGGCCATGAGTACACTATGAGCTATACTCTCCGACACAGCCCAAGATTGCGCACGGGATTTCAGTCGAGTGTAAAGACTGATGGGTGACTTGGAAGGGACATAGAGAGAGCCTACAGTCATGTTCTCGCACAGTTGCTGGCAATCTGTCAAACACCACCCGGGAAGCCCCTGCTTGTTCATCCCCCCTGCACCATGTTCACAGATCGAAACGATCGCAATGACTGAAAGTAACCCATCGCTCGGATAGCATCGAAAGAAAGGCACGCCGAAGAACACTGAATCAAATCTTCTTCAACCGATTACATGAAGTGCATTTTGGACGAGACAACGCTGGCCCCAAACTTCGTGACGCCCCTTGACTCTTCGTCTACCCTGGTACAGCCTGGCCGTCACTTCAGGGTGTCACCTGACGTGCACCGACAGCCACTGAAGATATCATGCACCTTGCACTTAATAACGGAACGCGACCAACCTTAAAGACTCGCACTGTGATCTGTAATGGCCCCGCTCGCCGGGACTTACGGTCACACCCATTGTCGCTGGACATACCCCTGACTGACGACCGAGTTTATAGGCTTGACAATAAGCATCTCAGGCGTTACTCCTCAAGACCCCATGAGATTTATTAATAGCTAAAACATCAGCGAGCATAAATAAAGGGTATCGTACAGGATTGGTGACCCTTGCCCCGACATGATCTCTGCGAAATGTGCAACTTCGCAGCCACACAACAGCCCCTTTCAATCCTAACCTTTCTTGCTTGCACCAAGGTCTATTTACAATTTCTGAAGATAGACTTGATAGACTTGATAGACTTTGTATCTTGGACTAGAACACCTAGTAAAATCTGCTCCCAAGGAGAGAAATTGCACCGACTCACTGAGCCGGCGGACACTTGCATGAACATTCCTGTGTGTACTGGTGAACTCGGATTACCTATATGATATGCTCATTTTGCTCTCAAAGACGATATTATTGACAGTGTCCCTCGAATGTCTATGTATCGTCATTGAAACAGTATCCCAAAATCGAATAGACCATGATTCAGTCGACTTCAAAAACGTGGCCCATGGTTTTATACGTCAGACCCAAACTGGTGTCAATCTCTACCAGTGGAGGCAGTGCCCGGTATGTCCCCACCACAGCCTGTTCCACTGTTGTTGTTTACACAGACCATTGCCCAGTGCCAAGTCCAGAGTCTCTTCTTCCTCCTTCAAACTGGAGACCTTTTTCCTTCTTCCTCACGATCAACAGTTCTTCCTTCATCAACACAAATCGACACACTCACCAAGATGTCGGAGAACTCAAACATGAAGCCTTGCGCCCTGCTGTTCGTTGTCTTTCTCTTCCCCCATACACGAGTTCGATGCTGACTTCACTCTAGCTTCGGCAACGCTGGTACCATCATCGCTGCTACTCCAAGTCTTGGCCTTCGAACCAAAATCAAGACTCAGGTCGGAACGGTCATTCCACCAAGTGCGGATCCATATTTCGGATTCCACTTGACTGTCCGTCGTGATCGCGGACAACTTGTCAGCGAAGAGGAGGGGCACGGCGTTTGTTTTTCCTGTAAGAGAGACACCTAGAGAACAACTGATACAGCACATCTGACACTTGATTCCAGACGATCCCTCCCTCGATGAGCCTGTTTTGGCAGACTTTCGTATCACCGTCAAGTTTCCCCGCGGCGGTGTCTCCTGTGACTATCTCCCAGTTCCAGAGGATGTCCAGGCCAAGTTTCCCACCGTCCAGAATTGGCAAGGCTTTACATATCTTATCGTGCACCAGCGCGATTTCGGGATTGTGATCCAAGGTTATGCCCAGGAGTATCATAACTCCCCCGACCCCAAGCTTGAGGCGTGGGCTAGACACAATGGCAAAATCAACGACGTCTCGCTTCTGGATGTGCTTCAGCAAATTGATTTCTACTTCGTTGTGGAAATGGATATAGACTCCTGCAGGGAGGTCATGGGAGACGAGGGCCTTCCTCCAAGATTCACGTATGGCTACCCCAGGCAGCCTACTAACGTCGAGGAGATGAAGGAGCTTGCCAAAGGCAGTCAAGGTGGCGCCTTTGCGCCGTGCTATAAGTGAGTATATCTGTTTCATATTGAGTCCCGCATGTACTAATGCCCATGGTAGCTTTGACAATGACGACTCATTTATCACGGCCATCAACCAAAGTGTTGTCCAGGACAACCTTTGGCTGCACGAAGAAGCCGAGGTGGTATGTATTACAACATTCGATGAATATTAACAGGGCTCACAAAACTACAGATAGCACAAGAGCGCTTACAAGCATACTTCGTCGCACCTCCAAGGAATATCCCTCCAGGCACCGGCCTTACCCTTCTGGTTTCGGTACCAGAGGAGTGGAAGAACTCCCACGAGCTCGCCTTGAGACGCTCGCTGATGAGCAACACTAGGATTCAAGTCAAAATCCATGATGTTGTCGGGTCTGAGGACTCTCAGCCAGCTCTATGGTAAGCCCAGTTATGAAAGAATGTGAAACATAGATTAACGACCTCGTTTGATAGGGTTGGTAAGATCATTGAGCGGAGTGGTTCCATTCCCGAACTTGACTCACATCTGACTGGAAACAACGAGCTGGTTCTACGAGTTCGCACCACTGCCAGGCCCCAGGTTCGCATCTACCACTATAACGACCGCGCAACCGCCGATGAAGCTCTTTCGAAAGGAACGCAGAATTAGAACTCTGTGTCCTTGGTATTGGATTCTGGCATGGAAGAGGTCGAAAGAAGAGTCAAAGGTATGCGAGTGTTCCGGCCCAATGCCCCGCCAACGAACCCAAGGGCATGGGGCATGGCCGTGGACGCCGAAGGTGACATCCTTGCGCCGCACCTACTTGACAGAGACCAGATGAACACGGCTAGTGAGGTCCTCTTCAAGATGAGAGTTCACCGTGCTGTACTTCGAGGTACAGGCTTCTATGAAGCGTTCAGAACGACACAAGACCTGAGGATTGGCTGGTTGCCCGCAATCAGTTACACCCTGCACGATGATCCCTACCTCATCCAGTGCATTCTTGAAGAGGCGAAGTACTTTGACCGAAATCGCTTCCGGGCATATCTGAAGCAGCGTGCGCTCAATATTGGTATCATCATCGGCGTAAGTTCTTCACTTCTAGTGACCTCCACGACAGCTTGATACTAATGAATCTCCTTAGGACCCGGGATCTGGAAAGACCACGATCGGAGTGGCCGCAGCCCTCGCTATGGAGGCCAAACTCGGGACGATTTTGTGTTCCGGTCCTTCAAATGCGTCGATAGACCTCTTTGCCAGTCGCCTTGACACTAGAGGTCGTGCCGTAGCGGCGCGCTACAATACCATCCTACCCGCGGGCCACCCTGATCGCCGCCGCCATTATCTGGTGATACGCATGTACGCGCAGAACGATGAAATGATGGCGGTCGGTCAAATTCTGAACAACCCCCAGGCTGTTGACTGGGCGCAGAACACGGACGAGTTCTTTCGAGAAACACACTGGAAAATGCACCTCTCCCTGGCCTACTGGACCTTGGCCATCTTGCGGTCGAACGCTGTACCAGCCCTCGACGCCGACTGCAAGCTGAACCTGCGCACTATCCAAAGCTCCCTCGACAACGACGCCAGTGTCTTACCACTCCGTCAGGTAAAGTCCCATCAGTTTTAATGAACCAACGTTGAGACCGTACTAACAGAGCCAGGTCGCGCGTGGACACATCAGCTGGGCACAATATACCGCCACGCCGGATGCCATTCTGATCCTTCAGAGAACTATGTGCAGGATCTTACGCCAGGCTGATTTCCTGTGTGTGCATCCGACGGAAGCGCAGATCTCGCCGCTTCCTCTTTGGAAGAGTCTTTTTGTCAAAGGTCTCGTAGTGGATGACGCCGGAAAAAGTGAGTGAAATGCACCATACAAGATGTCACACTAGCTAACCATGATGCAAAGTGAATCGAGCCGACTTTTACGGTCTCTGGGGGAACACCCTCCTTCCCGTCTTCCTCATTGGAGATCCCGATGAGAAGCCTGTGGTTCTCACAATCGACGAGGCTGACGAGGATGGCAACTTGCTGAATCGCTTTGCCGCAGATGGCGCAATTTCGCCATTGAAATTCCTCGTGGCAACTGGCATTCCCGTGTTCCGCTTGTAGTTCTACTCGGCGCTAACTGAATGTTTTACTGGTGGACTGTGTGGTAACATGGATAACACATCGACGACGTCTAGGATGGTATGAGTGAGAGGATACTGCTGGTTGTATGCATGATATGAGGAAAGATTCAGAGGTTGTAATCTGTTTGTACTGCTCGCACATTGTGGGGTTATTCTTATTCATTCAACTGAAGAAATACAAGTTCTGGCCGTCGCCGATGCTTCTTTACCAATTGCTAAGCATGTGAAAGTTATCTGAATATAGAATCTCTAGATTCATTAGAATTCTTTGTATGCGTCAATCTGATTATAAAGTTAAGAACAACTGGTTATATGATAGGACATGGTGGTACTGACAAACTGCAATAGCCTTTCTCTATTTTGAAGATAAAGTCGTACAACTCTTCGTATGTTTTCCAATCAATTCCTCATGTTGCTAGTTGTTAAATAAGCCGTCGTGCACAATGCGCTCATGGACCAATAATCGCCGCACGTGAAATTCAATGGCTGCACCAATCGTCAAAAACACCAAAAAAAGCGCCGATCAGTGAAGAATCTAGATTCATCCATCTCACAAATGACGAGCCCCAACCGCTTCTGGGTGCAACACACCAACATCTTATCTTCGGGGCAAACCGTCCGAGCGGCAACGCCTGAACCTTGATTAGTGCCACATCCACAGTGAGAATGCATGTCATTGTGCTGCGGGGTCTAGCCTGAGGGTGTCAACGTTTGCGGCGGATGGTCGGTTTGTGGCGCCCTGTAGAGGTGTGCTCGTTATCAATTGACATCAGATATCTTTCACCGACTTTGTTATCTGACTTTGGGATCACGTCATTGTGCTCGTTGAGATGATGTAAAAACATCACCGCCTCTGCCTTTGGTGTTCATCCATTGCGCTCTGCAATCTCAGCAAAATGTCGCTGCCTACGAGCTCACCGTTCAATCCCGACGGCGAACGTCGAGGAAGACGACATTCCATCTTTGCTGATTTTATTCCAGACGATCTCACGTTTCCCCCGCCGTTCATCGACCCGACTCCAAATGTGGAGGAGATTCTCAACCGCGATATTGACGAGTGCTCCTCTGGAGACGAGCACCGCGATGAAGAAGCCATCGAAGACCTCCGATATGTAAACGAAACAGACGTCCAACTTGCCTTTCATCCAACAGGCATCGCTTTCGGCCAAGGCTTCTCTGCCGTTCCTCCTTCAAGTATCGACATCCCGCCCCCAAACCCCCACGACTTTGAGCAATCACTTCGCGCTGAGGTCTCCCTCCTCCGCGACAACGACATCATTCCACCGAGACATCCCCCAACAGGATGGAAGACCACGAAGTTCGGCCGTCTGTATCGGCACCTGTTTAGTACGCGCGTGCACGATCATGACAAGCCACTCTTCGCATCGGAAGATTCGGGCGAGACAACGCCGTTGCTAAGAGAGAGAATTGTGAGATTCGATGGAATCCCGCCGACGCCAGGACCGGATGAGGTTCATAAACGTTGGGAGGAGGCGCTGGCATCGCATAAGATTGATACGACGTGGCAGCGTGAGACCAAGACGTTGATTCAATACGCGCTGCCTCTTATCGTTACTTTTCTTCTACAGTGAGTGCATCATATGTGTTCAAATGAAAGATGAGACTGACGGTTTAAGCTACTCGGTCACTGTCGCTTCTGTCTTAACAGTCGGTCGCCTTGGAATGGAGGAGCTTGCGGCTGCCAACTGTAAGTATTCAGCTTCTTTCTCAGCCTGATACACATATTGACATCTTCAGTGGCCACAATGACTGCCTCGATCACTTACTACGTCCCAGTCCAAGGTTTAGCAACGTGCCTCGACACTCTCTGCGCACAAGCCTATGGCTCAGGTCACAAGCATCTGGTTGGCCTCCAGGCGCAGAGAATGACCTGGCTTCTTTGGATAATCATGATTCCTATCGCTGTCGTCTGGTGGTTTTCTGAACCCATCCTCGCCGCAGCCGTTGGTCCAGGCCGCACAACGCAATTGGCAGCTTTGTACATGCGAATCCTCATTGCGGGCATGCCAGGTGTATCAGCCTTTGAGAGCGCAAAGAGGTTTGTTCAAAGTCAGGGTTTGTTTCATGCTACAACCTATACTCTTTTCGTTGGAGCGCCACTGAGCTTCTTGCAAAATTGGCTGTTTGTGTTCAAGTTTGGATGGGGCTTCCCTGGTGCTGCCATCGCCATGGCTGTCACTCATAACCTCCTCCCGCTTCTTCTCATTTTGTACGTGCGGCTGTTTGAGGGATATGAGTGCTGGAAGGGTTTCAGCCGCAAGGCTTTCACAAACTGGGGTAAGTCAAATTTGGTCTCGTCGAGACATCATTTCTGACTTTCGCAGGCCCCATGATCAAGTTGGCTTTGCCAGGAATGATCATGATCGAAGCCCAGTTCTCCGTGCTGGAGATTCTCACCATCGCCGCAGGACGATTCGGTACAGCGCAACTAGCAGCTCAAGGAGTCTTGGTGACCGTTACGTCGATGTCTTTCAACATTCCCTTCCCGTTGGCCATCGCGACCTCGACTCGAGTTGCAAACCTTATTGGGGCTGATCTGAGCAAGGCTGCGCGAGTAACAGCCAAAGTGGTGAGTCCATCCTCGTCTTCGTCACGATACAAACTGACTGACTTTGCAGGCCATATTTGCTGCACTCATCGTCGGGAGCATCAACTTAACGATCTTCATGACCCTCCGAAAACAAATCCCTGCTGTGTTCACGGAAGATGAGCAAGTGATCGACATTGCATCTAACGTCATTCTTGTTTGCGCTGTCATGCAAATATTTGACGCGTTAGCAGCCGTCTCTCATGGCCTTCTTCGCGGAATCGGAAGACAATCCATCGGCTCATACGCCAATCTCTTTGCATACTATGTGGTCGCTCTCCCAATTGCCCTCGGCACCAGTTTCGGATTGGGCTGGGGGTTAGCTGGACTCTGGGTTGGGTTGACAGCCGGGCTCGCTGTGTAAGCTTGACGACTTGTTGCAATGAACTATCGCTAACTGAGTACAGGGTGTCTGGTCTCGAGGCGATGTATCTGTACTTTACAGATTGGGAGGAAGCTGTGAAGCAAGCTGAGGCAAGAATGCGAACAGAGACGAATAGAAGACGATCTTCGCTATCAGGCTTGTCACAGGAAAGAAACTAAAATCACTGTGGTCATCCGATATGCTGTTTCGTTTGTACATCTTATTTGCGACGAGCGGGCCTTTGTGGTTTCCTTTTTGTAGCTTTCCCAATGAGCTTGTGGGCATCAGATTGAGCAAAAGAGCAAGCAAGCGTTATTCTTTTGAGTCCCTTTAGCGACTTAATCGTTTCTTTTTCTTCTGATACTCGTTATGTTCGCGCACATTTCACGACATTGAAAATGTCATTAAGCGACGGGTGAGACATCGCGATGGCGTAAGGCTTGGTGTTGTGGAGATCTTGGCCTGATCCAATTTTACTGCTAAAGCCGAACAAGCTCATGCTTGGCCTGACCCTTAATGCATTAGCGAATGCCAAAGCGTCTGTAACCAATAACTCAAACCGAATTAAACAATTAGTCACCGTGTCTTGGTCAATTTCTTATCTTCAGCTGTCAAAACATCAGGTAAAATGGCGTCTAGATGTGGTTAGTCTCTCCTACAGGCTTGTTTTGATGTTACATGCATGCGGAGTCAATGATGTCAGATCAATGACGTATGTCGATCTCTTTCAACTCAGGGTCTCCCTTGATCAAAAGAATGACGGCTTAATTTTGCAATTATTGTGTTACCCCTCCATCATCACCGATCTTCAGGGTTCAAGCTTTATAAGATATCATTATTCCCGATGGCAACCCAAACTGTCAACCCCCCAACCGTTGATGGTTACCGTGATTCAGACGACGACTTCAGCTCAGATGACCAAGAGTTTCATGTCGATGAGCGCTCTGGACGGTCTTGGCCGACCAAGATTCTTCATAATGTCATCCAGCCCATCAAACCAAAGTTAGTAGAGATTGGGAAGGTTTCATCTGCTGATCCTACGCGATGCAAACCATCGAGGGGGGCGAGGAAGAGATGTGATGTTCAAGAAAACAAGGTTGAGGGGATTTGGACTTATGATATGACTCTAAAGTCTTCTGATGGAGAGAAGAAGTCCTATGCCCGGAGGATACTGTATTTTGCTGGAGGCGGATGGCAAGCACCTCCAAGTGGTAAGTAAGCCATTTTCTTCCCAGGAACCCTACTGACGACATATGCAGGCCAACATTGGACTTTTTGTGCAGAGATGATTAATCGACTACAGGATACTAGACTTACACTTGTCTCGTATCCCCTAGCACCCAAGGATCCCGTTCAAGATGCATTCCCAGCCATCTGCAAGACCTACAATGTCTTGTTGAAGGAATCATCTGACCTTGGTGAGAGGGTGATCGTCGCTGGAGACAGTTCAGGGGGCAATATTGCCCTGTGCCTGGTGACTTGGACAATGAGAGATCAAGATGTACAAGTCGTTCGACCTCCATCTGCCATCCTCGCCATCACTGCAACTACCGACTTACGTCACAATCACCCCGACATCAGAGAGGTAGACAAGGTTGATCCTATTCTAAGCGAGTCGTCCATCAATGACACAGCCGGTGCGTGGGCTCCCGGCCACTCCGACGTGAATCAACAAAACGGGACGAACACGGAGACAACAGACAGGAATGAGAAGCTCGACTGGTCCGCCGATGACCCTCGAGTCTCACCCATCCATGCCGATCTGGGTGTTTGCATCACCAACAATATCAAGATACATGGTATAACAGCGTCACATGATGTTCTTGGGCCAGAGGCTGTTGAGTTTAGAGAGAGATGTAGAAAGGAGGGCGTTTCAGGAGAGTGGTTGTCTTGGGGCAATCAGATGCACTGCTTTCCGTTGGCGTACAAGTATGGGTTGAAGGAGAGTAAGGAGGGGCTTGAATGGATCATTGATGTTTTGAAGAAATGTTGAGAGATACCCTGTATACGAATGAGATAGAACACAATGGAGTTGACGGTGACTTGGGACTGTGCATTGATAATGAAGTGTCCGTGATCGCCAGTACTTATCCTGATGGTCTGAGGGCCCAAACGTGGTTCAGCCTAACAGAGTGTTGACATAGCTAAGGGATTATCTTTTAACATGTAAAGCAACTGGGGATTGATGAGAATGTCGAACTATTGGTAAAAGAGGACCTGAATAAGGATGACAGAAAGACTCATGCCCCCCCTGATGCTCGATTTGACAGCAAGGACATTATTAGATATTCCCATACATGTAATGGAAGTCATAATCTGAGCAGATCGTTAACATCCCTGTTTCATTTACGCTCTTTTCTATTTGGAATTGCATCGAACGGTAGTCCGTCTGGGTGGGAGTGCTGCCACTGCTATTCTATAGAGTGCACTACCTGAACAAGCGACGGAACCATCTGATTCATCAAGCAAAAGTGCACCAATCCAGTGAACACTATTGCAAGACTTCCCACTGGTACTCCAAACATTACCAGTGCGGATGAACACAAATGCCAGTTGTCATCCCATCAGGTTCGTATTCCTCATCTCAAAAGCTCAACTCTGTTCTATCCATGCAACCCCTCAACACTCTTCATCACCACTCTACACCAGCAGACTCAACAACCTCAATATGCCTGGCAGAGATCCCGGAATATCCTATGACTCTTCCCCTGACACCAGAAAAGTAATGTCTGGTGTCCTGTGCCCCAAGTGCACTACGACTGAGAAGCAAGTTTGGGTCACGCCTGGTCACTCCTGTCCCTATTGCGGCAACGTGGTAAGTGGATGAGACGTTTTGAGTTCCTCCAACCAGATGCTGATGTTGTTTTCAGATTCGTGTCTCTAAGAACTCAACCGTCTCGAATTTCAATATGGTTGAGTGGTAGCCCGTATGCGCAGTCGTCGATAGGCTTCCACTCTTAGTGATTATGGGGACAATTGTTTTTTGGGATACTTGACTTTTTGGACATGAATGGCGGAGTTAGTATCCGGCGACCAGTGCCATAAATGTCGTTCAAAAAGGAAAACCCTTAATTAGTAGCAGGATTCGAACCCGCGAGCAAAAACGAAGAGTGGCCGAGGGAGGAAGGTTCTTAGGAGCGGAGTTTAGGTTCTATAAGGTTTTTAGGTAGATACCACTCGACCACTCTTCGCTGAAGGTTAGAGTGTAGCTTTGGTATATAGCCTTTCCCCTGTGCGTGTTTCTCGCAGCAGTGCTCGTGTGCCAATGTCGTTGATCCCAAGCGCCGTGATAATCCGTGCAACTGTCACCCAGTGACCAGCCTCGTTGGTTGAACCTTGCTGCCAACCACAGACTCTGCACTCTCGTTGCAGATTGCCTCCAAGTGACTAAGCTTCGCTAGGTCCTCGTCATACGACTGCGAAGGCTGGTCCTCTTAAGTCTTGTCAACTCTTCTGCCGCTTGTTTTGTTGCTGGGCTCACTCACATCTTCGATCTCTTCCATTTTCTTTCCCCGATCTGAGATCAACCACTGCGAGAAGATAGATTCCGAATAAGAAGCCCATACATACCTCTCATCCCTGCGCACTAAGCCTGTAAACTACTGCTTGTGAGTCCCTCGATGGTGTCAGTCGCGCTGGGTTTCGCCTTCTCACAGGATAGCATCTCCATCAACGCGTCCAATCTCACGCATTTACTAACCTACAACAGGCCATGTTCACCAAATCTCATATTCGTATTCTATTAGGACATCATATCAATAGTTTTTGTTGGCGCCAATTGCCTCAGCCCGCCACAAAACGTTGCACAGGGATGAAATTGCGACATTGGGAGCACGCAATTCGCCCCGCGTCTGAGAGCATATTCTCACCACGATAACGAACTCGACAGGCATTTTTGCCCAAAACAAGTAATTATCGATATCGCTATTGGTCCGGTGGAGTTATTTGATTGGTTTGACGATCCCATGACATGAAGCCATGGACTTGAAACTGCAGATCGGCGAGTGTTGATAGATGCGCCTTGGGAATCTGAATGACAGGCAATCAGACAAAGGACAGAGGTACGAAGTGGCCTGTCTGGTCTCTGATATAAAAGCTTGCTTCTCGAAAGATTCCTTATTAATTATCGGGATCTAGATCTGAGGTTCCCCGACGTCGGCCGTCGCATCAAAGTGTCGTCAAATCATGCAATACGCCAAGCGAGCACTATCTCTCAATGTGCACATGGCACCCACGTTTAGTGTCACCCAACCCGATAAAGAACGCATCTAGTCTCTCAAGATCCCAATTTTCGGATCCTTGCTTGCGTTCGCATATGCTTTAAAGTCCCTGGCCCATCGCTTCAACCGTCCTGCATGATCCTTCATCTGCACGTCTATCACAATGTCTGTCGCCAAACAAAAGAAGTGGTATCATATCCAATGGTATTCTGATACAGATACCCCGGAGGAGCGCAAGTTTATTATTAAGCTTGATCTTCTTATCGTCCCGTATGCTGTGATAGCTTATTGGGTGAAGTACATTGATCAGTCTAACCTGAGTATGTCTCTCTTCTCTTCTTTAGAGCACCTTAACTAACACTCTGAAGACAATGCATACGTTGCAGGCCTCAAAGAGGATCTGGGCTTTAAAGGCAATGAACTCGTTCAACTACAAACCTTCTACATCATCGGCGCTGTCTTGGGCCAGATCCCCTTCTTCTTCCTTCTCACGTACGTTCCCATCCATTGGCTGATCCCTGGCTTGGACGTTTGCTGGGGAATCTTTACGCTTCTGCAATATCGAGTCAACAGCTTCGCCGAGCTGGCAGCTTACAGATTCCTCGTCGGATGGTTCGAGGCAGCTTTCTTCCCAACCATGCACTACCTCTTTGGCTCATGGTACAGAGGCAACGAGATTGCTCGACGTGGCGGTATCTTTTACGTCGGTCTATCTCTCGGAACACTCACTGCTGGCCTCATCCAGGCTGGTGCATCAGCTCGACTCGATGGTGTGAATGGATTGGAGGGTTGGCGATGGATGTACATCATCTGCGCGCTAATCACCATCCCGGTTGGTATTGCGGGATACTTTGTCATCCCAGGAACGCCTGATCAGCCGAATCGTCGCGTTTTAAATCAGCATGACATCGATGTTGGTGAGCAGCGACTCAGAAGGGCCGGTCACAGTAGCCATGGAAAGATGAAGCTGGGGCACTTGAAGAAGGTCGTCTTGTCACCGCAATTCTGGGGTATCATTCTCGTCGACGTCTTATTCTGGAATGCGGGAACACACAGCAGCTCTGGCTCTTTTCTCTTGTGGATTAAAAGTCTGAATCGCTATTCAAAGGCCAAGGTCAACGAGTTGGGTACCATCGCACCAGCTCTTGGTATCTTCTACACTCTTTTCGTTTGTTTTGCATCAGATCTTGTGCTAGGGCCTGCATGGGCTATCACTGTCTCGACTGTCTGGAATGCTCTTGGTCTTATTATTCTCACCATCTGGAACGTCCCAGAATCAGCCCTCTGGTTCGCATATTCAACCATCTACGCCTCAGTCGCGCTGTCGAGTGTTCTCCATGGCTGGGTCAATACGCAGCTTCGAGCATCCCCAGCCGAACGGTCTTTCACGCTTGTCTTGATCAACGCGATCTCCCAGTCGACAACAGCTTGGACACCTTTGCTTGTCTTCCCGACTGTCGAAGGACCTCGATTCCCGAAAGGTTACCCATTTGCGTTGGGTTGCGCTATTGGTCTGCTAATTGCGACGCATGCCCTTCACCTGTGGCTGAAGCACCGAGAGTAAGTAAACATGTTCCCAGACATGAACCATCAGCTAACATTTGCCAGTCCTCAAGCCGAAGCCCCTACTCAGTTTTTGTCCGAGGAAACAGGTGATGTCTCTTCCGATACTGGATCGAAGACTGCGAACTCTAAAACAGCATCTGTCAACTAAGCAATCGTGTGTTTGATACGGGGACGATTTGTTCCGCGTATGTATCCCTGGTTTGTCAAGGTTTTGACGGTAATGAGACATCTGGAGCGAAAGAGCCTATTCTAGAGTGGATATGGCCCTAGAAAAGTTTAATGACGTTCCAAGAAACAACAGAATATATCAATAGCATGATAATCAAGGACAATTCGCCATTTTACTTACAAAATGCTGTTATTTTGCTGATTGAATGCTCCTCTACCGGGTAGGCAGTACCATAGCTAGGATGCTAGCCTATGACTCGTGATGATCGCCCTGTTGCACTCCAAAACAGGGACTAAGTTCACTAACGACATTGGGGAAGCCGCTGGCATCCCTGTACACCATCAACTACCGGCACAAACCCCGATCGCTGATTCCTCGTGAGGAACGGCAATCTTGGTGATAAATAGGTACGCGATTATGAGATGCTCGTCGTGTTTCATACTTTTTTAGAGGCGAGAGATTCCAGCATCTCTTGGAAGGATATTGTTGCCCATCGGCTTGTACTGCCGAAGCACCTTTGTCTCAGTGTCTCGGTGGAATTATTCCCGAAGTCTTGATCCCAGAGTGCTGTGCCCTCCAGCAGAATGGGGTCCGGCCGAGGGTTAATCATTCGGCCGTCAGGAACAATGACGTCGCACCACCGTAAAAAGAAAATGGAACCATGATGTTCAACCTCGCATTTACTATTGAACATTGCTTGTGATATTCTCATTTGGAAACTCCGCACCTCTCGTTCCGCTGGTCTGGCTTCGTAGACCGTGCTGTGAACATGCCGCGGAATTATCCCCGAGACAATCCCAGCCATGAGCAAAAACTTGATCGGCCAAGCAAGCTGAATTCTTGGTTGCTCCAACGCAAGCTCCACGCTTTTATTCTTAGCTGAATCAAGGAACGATGTCATAGCGGCAATGCCCGGCACGTCGGCAAACATTTTTCTCTTAGAGACTTCCAGAGAATGGACTCCACTGATCAACCGTCTGCTGACGCTCACTCAACCTGGGGATACTCCAACTTTGAGAAGCCAGTCGAAAAGCGGACACTCCGCAGAATGCAAGCATCTCCACTGCAACAACAGATCACACGACAGATGCGAAAATGACTCGATGTCAAGATTTTGAAGCTCCAACGTAACATGAAAAGCATCGGAGCCGCATGCCGATGTTTGTTTAAACTGCTGCCTGTCGCTGAAAGATCCCTGTCACGAGAATAAAACGTGGGAATTACCACTCAACTCCAGGAAATCTCCGCTCGGGTCCAGTAAAATCTCAGAATGAGGGCAGCTGATTGGAGCGCATAAACGAAACATGGGGGAGTCTAAAGTGTCTCCACCACCTCCAATTCTCAACTTGGGGCAACAAATTGTCGATGACACTGCTTTTTGAGATGCAACGGCATGAACGGCATTGGAGATCTATACGATGAAGAGAATTATTAGAGAAAACCCGTTAAATGAGCGAGATGAGATCAGTTGGCATTGATTTGGCTTCATGAGACACCAGAAAGAGTCATCTGCCCGGCATCTGGTATCGCGTTGAGATCATGGCCAAGTTTTGATTCAGAGCCTCACGGAAACAACTTGACAAACGGCCATGTTTCCGCCCCTCGCCCAAAGTAACCACGCTAATTAAAACGCTCTGATAATGAGCAAATACGGTTATCTGATGTGGATCTCACGTCTCATCCTCCACACAACCAGTCACTTGCAGCAAGTATAAATGCAACACCTGCCCACGAGATCATCGTCAACCCAACACCCAAGCTCAATGCCAAATAGCAATCATGGAGCGACTCCCAGGTTTCAATGTCGCGAATCACTTTGAGAAGCGCCAGCTTCTCATCGCTATTAATTGCGTTGCTGCTCTGTCGATCTTCTTCTTTGGGTATGACCTCATCATTTTCTCCAACTTCAATGGTTTAGTCTTTTCGCTAACGGTTCAGATATGATCAGGGAATGATGGGTGGTGTCAAT